TCACCATATCGTTGCCGTTGCTTCACGAGTAGTAAGCGTGTTGATCTCTGTAGTGAGATCTCCTCGTCATCACAATTCAACATACCCTTGGTCCGAACACCCAGACAAGTAATGAGTTCCAGATTTTGGTCGTAAACCTTCATGTTCTGTTCCATATTCGTTAGTAGAGACAATATTCATAAAAATGGCGGATAAAACATTGTGCAGAACGAGTTGGAAATGTTGCGAACGGGATTATCGACACGACAGGCTATAGCGTTCGGAATACACAACGTAATGTGATTGGCTACCGGATATATAATTCACADTGTGATWGGMTACGAAGATGTACCGAAGCCAAACTTTCGACATTGTGAAAAAAAAAAAACCAAGAAAGTGTCAGCATTTTACTACACGTACCCCCTGCATAGCAGGGTACGGGTAATAATGCCCAATTTTTTTAATTGTAAATTTACCCTGTCTGGCCGAAGAACATCTGTCGACTAGCATCTTGACAATTTTCTGTCTAATTAAATTTATGTAAACAAATAAAAACAGCACGAAATAAATTATTTATTATTGAATGAGAGTTCCTTAATTGAAATCTTTGTCAATTAAAATTCTGCGCTTCGAAATAAAAGACAAGCGAGAGGATACTAATCTGCGAGATAAGTCAACAGTAATACATGTTGCCCATTCTCTGCAAGTGACCGGTAATTCTTTATGCAAACAATCTCAAAGTCAGCCCTCGTTGCAGAAGTAGCCAAACCATTTACTCCTAGCCTTTTAAACATGAATCGAGTTGAATCTCTTGCTCTAAAAACAGCTGGGATTGTAGTTTCGGTGATCTCCATAATTGGAAATGTTCTTGTTTGCCTCACTATCTTACGCTTCAAGTCCATGAAGACCTCAATGAATTTCATTATACTAAACCTTGCCATACTAGATGGCATGTCTGGCTTTTTTGCCATAGTTTTTATCCTCTCAAATGATTCAAACGAAATTTTTAAGTTTATAAGGTGACATTTCATATTTTCTTACATCAATACTGAAGCAGAAGTCAAATGAAAGTTTTATCGCCGCTGAAGTCATTTGCAAGTTAGAGAAGTGTTAGTGGGTCCAATCAGTTGTAGCTCCTTGGCTTCTAACTGCGATGGCATACGAGCAATATATAAAGCTATTTTACACCCTCTTTCAAGCATTAGCAATAATGGTACTAAAGCAAGACTAAAATGGATAATACCGCTGTCCTGGATGCTAGGACTAGTGATCCTTCTCTTTGATATCATTGTGAGCCGATACGAGCCAATAGAGGGATTGTGAAAAGTCATAAAACATTCATGGTACAATTTGGAGACCTTCTTTTTCGTTTATCTGGTATCGCAATATATAGTACCTTCCCTCGCAATGGCTGTGCTATATTCTCGTGTAATTTGTGCTTTAAAGAAGAAAGACAGTACACTTGGAACACAGGTTGATTCACAACATCTCAGGGCAAAAGCACGAAGGAAGGTCATTAAGATTATCATTGCTGTGACATTGGTGTTCTTCTTCTGCAACGCAATTCCTCAGATCTTGTATTCTTGTGCTTTTCTATATAACATTTTTGGTTCGAAGTCTGAAATATTCGTCGACGTTTTTGTAATTTTGCTGGGTTTCAATTCTGCTTTCAACCTCTTTGTGTATTTCATTTTCATAAACGCATTTCGGCACCGTTTTAGGAAAATGTTTAGCTTTATTAGAAAGGAGAGAAAGACATGAGCATTACGGCAGGTGCACCTACACTGCAACCCTCGTTAAATCCAAAACATATTGATGTACAAAACAGCCACAGAGCAGAACCAGAACTTCTTGAATTACGTGATACAAAGAACAATTCAACATGAATTGGTTNAAATGATGGACAGTAGACCCACAAAATATCTATACAAAATAAATTTTCACTAGTGAGCAAAGTCACCCTGAACTGCCCTAATTTGATAGCAATATGAGTCGCCCGAAAAGTACCGTCGGAGGCTGTTTTCAACTTTTCTAAATTAGAAAATAAATGGAAATCGCTAGACTTTTTAGACATGCATTTTGAAGACTAGCCACCCAAAGGTTTATTTTGGTGCAATAAAATAGAATTTCATTTTTGGGTTCTGTCTGTCGATTCTCGACCCTTACGGACATTCGCTCTTAAACTAGTTCTTTCCTTGATACATATCAGTGTGTGCTCAATATAATTGCAAAATCTACCTCACTGCATGAACTCAATTGTTTGAACTGCCAGTAAGAAGACGAAGAAGAAGAAGCTCAGTAAACAGAAAGAAAAATTATAAGAAGAAGAAAATAGAGAAGAAGAAGAAGAACAACAAAAACAATGAAGAAAAGGACATACTAGGTAGTCTTAAGAGATATTGATCGACAACTTTTCAGTCAAGATTAGTTTTATCATTGACTACTATTTGGTAACACAGATGCGCTTGACGTGGGCCATTTGACAATCTTGTGTAGGCTTCCTGTAGTTTGTCCGGGACAGGTTCTGTCGACATGAATCAATGCTGCCGAAGGATATCGAAAGTAAAATATCCAACTATTTTGATATTTCTTTAAAATTCTGCGCTTCGAAATAAAAGACAAGCGAGAGGATACTAATCTGCGAGATAAGCTAACAGTGAAACATCTTGCCCATTCTCTGCAAGTGACTGGCAATTCTTTATGCAATGAACAATCTCAAAGTCAGCCCTCGTTTCAGCAGTAGCCAAACCATTTACTCCTAGCCTTTTAAACATGAATCGAGTTGAATCTATTGCTCTGAAAACAGTTGGGATTGTAGTTTCGGTGATCTCCATAATTGGAAATGTTCTTGTTTGCCTCACTATCCTACGCTTCAAGTCCATGAAGACCTCAATGAATTTCATTATACTAAACCTTGCCATACTAGATGGCATGTCTGGCTTTTTTACCATAGTTTTTATCCTCTCAAATGATTCTAACGAGACTTTGGGTCCATCAATACTGAAGCAGAAGTCAAATGAAAGTTTTATCGCCGCTGAAGTCATTTGCAAGTTAGAGAAGTGTTACTGGGTCCAATCAGTTGTAGCTCCTTGGCTTCTAACTGCGATGGCATACGAGCGATATAAAGCTATTGTGCACCCTCTTTCAAGCATTAGCAATAATGGTACTAAAGCAAGACTAAAATGGATAATACCGCTGTCCTGGATTCTATGACTAGTGATCCTTCTCTTTGATATCATTGTGAGCCGATACGAGCCAATAGAGGGATTGTACAAAGTCATAAAACATTCATGGTACAATTTGGAGGCCTTCTTTTTCGTTTATCTGGTATCGCAATATATAGTACCTTCCCTCGCAATGGCTGTGCTATATTCTCGGGTAATTTGTGCTTTAAAAAAGGAAGACAGTACACTTGGAGCACACGTTGATTCACAACAGCTCAAGGCAAAAGCACGAAGGAAGGCGGTCATTAAGATTATCATTGCTGTGACATTGGTGTTCTTCTTCTGCARCGCAATTCCTCAGATCTTGTATTCTTGTGCTTTTCTATATAACATTTTTGGTTCGAAGTCTGAAATATTCGTCGACGTTTTTGTAATTTTGCTGGGTTTCAATTCTGCTTTCAACCTCTTTGTGTATTTCATTTTCATAAACGCATTTCGGCACCGTTTTAGGAAAATGTTTAGCTTTATTAGAAAGGAGAGAAAGACATGAGCATTACGGCAGGTGCACCTACACTGCAACCCTCGTTAAATCCAAAACATATTGATGTACAAAACAGCCACAGAGCAGAACCAGAACTTCTTGAATTACGTGATACAAAGAACAATTCAACATGAATTGGTTTTTGKTTTTAATATCATAATTAATAGAGTGGAATGGTTTGGAAACATTTTGTTGTACTTCGGTTTTTGTACATATTTTGTATGTATTTTTCCTACAGACGATGGAAATTGCAATTAGATAAGTGTGAACATGAACACCTAAGAGATTATAAAATGAAATATTTCAATATTGTTTAAAGTTTAAAATATCGTAGGAATATATTTAATGTTAAGTACCCTTGCTATAAGCCTAAAACGTACACAATAAACGATAAATTCAGTCTTTTGAAGTCAAACTTAAAACAATTTCAGAAAAAAAGTCTAAAATATGATGTGCATTTTGCAGAAATAGGGAAAATATTTTTTCCCCTCTTCAGGCGACACTTCACTTCTTTTGTGCACGACAATCCATTCGATACATTAACGGAATTCAACTTTTAATAACTCTAGCTAAATCTTAATTTATTTATTTTTTTGGTCTGTTGTGTTTGTAATCCGTTGTATGTAAATGTATATAAGATAAACAATTAAAAAAAAACCCTACAGCTAAATGAATGAGATACCTGAGGTTTGCAAACGATTTTCATTTAATACTGGCTCTAGATTTCGACAATTATACGAAGCAATGAGATTAATGCTATTAAAAATTAAAGAAACATCGTGAAGTTATAAATAAATGTCTAAATTAAACAGCTTAAGTTTGTKTGAAATTACATATGATTCAGTAATTTTCAATAAAAAACGTTAAAATGATATTAAAAAAATAGAATTGGCATGCAAGCCCTCATCCATATGCAAGCAGTTCAACCAAATAYAATATTCCAAAACAGGTATTGTAGCTCATTATTTCTAATAGAACTTCGAAAGCATAAGCTATCGTCAATGTTTGCMTGACCGTAGCTTTTATTAGTTGTAACGAAGACTTATTGGTTTCATAATTAGAAATAGACTAAAA